CCTGGCCGGGTCTGGCAACGCTGAAAACTTGAACATATATTTCAATCGTAAATCAATTACAAGCACTTGGTTTTCTACTGATAGAAAACACACATATTTTCGCAGAGCTGCCAAGTGTCAAAGTTGAAGCTAGCGAGTGGCAACTCTGGCAAAGAATTCATTGAGAAAAAGCTAGAAAAAGGCTGGAAAACTAAATTAAATAAGCCAAAACTGTTTTGGTTTTTCTTTTTCTGAAATAGAAGCAAATACATATGCCACTGTTTGCATACATCTGGCAACTCTGGCAGTGCCGTCCCATTTAAAATAAAGCAAGAGCATTTAAATAAATGCATTATAGATAAATACTTGTTTTTTTTGTAAATAGTTCAATAAATTTGCTTGCAGAGTTGCCAGATGTGTTGCAAGCCGTGGCAACTCTGGCAACATTATCATGCTTTTGGCAAGTTTGGCGTATTTGAATTAAGTTTTAACTTTAATAGAATTATTGTTTGGCAAAAATAAGTTTGCAGAGTTGCCTAACATCAAGCTGTAGAGTTGCCACACTTGAATACAGTTGCCGCCTGCCAAATGTCCGTTCAGAAAATGACGCAAAGTGGCTGCCAAGCGGCGGAGCAGCTGTCAACTGCGAGATAAGCGGCTAAAGTCAGCCAAAATAGCAAAAACCCCCAAAAGTCAATTTGGCAAATGCAAGCTCCAATACACTTAAATGCTATACCCTGGAATTTGTCAAGTGTGGCGTATGCTGGAGCAGTTCCACAACAGTTGAGCTGTTCTGTGTTTCACTCAAAGAAACTCAACAGACTTGGTTTGTTATTAGAAGACATTCACATAAAAACTCTGCAAGACTCGCTCGATGACCTGTCATGCCTGTTGTCTGGCAGGACACACTGCAGGGCATGTCAGCTAGCTTGTCCTCGAGCGACTTTTCTGTAGAGCTCTGTAAAAAGCTTTGCTGCGATAAAAAAAAACAGTATTTTCAAATACCAAAACTTAGTATTTATATATATTTTTATAGGCAAACATTTCGCCTCATACTAAATGGATTACATAGCAGCCAAAACTGAAGAGTTTCTTGTGGTATTTACTACACAGAAAAAATACCAAAAAATACTGAAAGTGCCCACTAAAATCAAGAGGTATTAAAAAGTTTGTGCGGCAATCTCAATTTTAATGGCTGCCACAAAAAGTCCCAAAAGCAGACAACGAACAATCGTAAAGTTGAAGATGTCATCCAAGAAGAAGACCGAAGCAGTTAAAGCAGGAGAGGGGTAAGGAGGGTGGATGAGCAGTAGGGGGGGGGGGGGGGCGGAGCGGTTGCAAGGATAGACACAATGTGCAACGGGCCGGGAAAAATTCTGAATGTCTGCGCAGCAACTTTGTCAAGTTTATGCGAGTGGCAGCAAAAGCATAAAGAAGACCGTTCTTCTTCTTCTTCATCTTTTTGTTTGTCTTCTTCTTCTTCTTATTTTTATTTTGGGCGCATTGAACCTGGTTTTTGGCGCCTCGAAAAGTGGCCAAAGGATTGTTGAGCAAGGCAAAGACCCTGGCATTTCCTTTGCACTCACAGCGACAGTGCGCCCTTTCAATTTTGCTGCTATTAAGCAAATGAAGTGGCCTGCGTCGTGCATGCCCGACTATGAGATACCCTGTACGCAGCTACCAGTTTGGGTATGCCATGTTTGAAGAGTTAAGCTCTCTATTGTATTGATTGATGACCCATTCCTGGCACTCTGTTGACTTCTACAATTGTTAGATAGCCCTCTAAGCATTTTTACAGGGTATGCGATATGCTGTACGCAACTTCATGCTTGGGTAGGCCATATTTCCAGCATTAAGCTCCCGGATGTGTTGATTGGTGGCCTCCTACTGGTTCTCCGTTGACTTTCACTATTGTAAGATACCCCCTTTACCGCTTTTACAGGGTATGACATGCCCTGTGCGCATGCTCTCAGCTTGGGTATGCCATACTTCAAGAGTTAGGCTCTCTATTGTATTGATTGATCCCGTTTAAGATTGCAAGTTAAAGATACCTCTCCAAACATTTTTACAGGGTATGCAGATGCTGTTAATTTATGTTCGAACAACAAAAATGAAGTGGGTAACGCCTTGGCTATTTCTTTAGCCATTTCTGTTGCCGCCGAATTGCATCACTGAATTGCAAATGCGACAATGCGCAATACAGGAAAAAACAACTGAAAAACGCACACACAAAGGCAGTACTATTGGGAAGCAGGGAATGACAACAGACGAGAGTCGACAGTCGGCAGTTTTAATAATGAGAGCGTGTGTCGCGCCCATTTCATTGTAGTCTGGGTACATAGGGTCGTACGTTCAGTTGTACGCCCAATTATTTGCCTCACGAATGCGGCGCACCAAAAAGAAAACTCTAGGAAATCTGTGAAAATCCCCAAAGAAAATCTCACACGAAAATAACAACAGCAAACAATTTAACCAGAAACATAATAAATTTTGCAAGATATTCACGCTAAATCACATATTTGTCAGTTAGTCAATTTTCTGCAATGTGAAAAAAAAGTCTGCAAAGAATTTTCACAAAAATCGTACGAAAAATAAATTTTCCCAAGAGTAAAGTTTGCTAATGTGAACAATTTAGCTGCATAGCAATCAATCAGTCAGTCAATCAGATAGTTAATCAATCAATCAGCCAGGTAAGCACACGCTCAATCAATCGGCTAGCTAGACAGTCAATCAGTCAGCCAATCGATCATTTTAAATCAGGTAATCGATCAATCATTCATGAAGTCTGTCAATCAGTGAGTCTTTCTACCAGTCAGTCAATCAGATATCCAATTACTTAACCAATCAGTCAGTCAGTCGTTCAGTTAGTCAATCAGTCGTTTAGCCAATCAGTCAATCAGTCCGTCCGTTAACCAATCAGTTAGTTAACCAGTCAGTCAATCAGTCAGCCAGCCTAGCACTCACTCAATCGATCAACCAGCTAGTCAGTCAATCAGTCAGCCAATCGGTCATTCCAAATCAGTTATTCAATCATGATCTCTTTCAATCAGTGAGTCTATCTTTCTACCAGTCTACCAGTCAGTCAATCAGATACCCAATCAGTCTATCTTTCAGTCAGTCAGTTCGTCAATCACTTATCTAATCAATCAGTCAATCAATCCGTCCGTTAACCAATCAGTTAGTTAGCCAAATAGTCAGTCAATCAATCGGTCAATCAGTCGATCAGTCAACCAATCAGTTAGTTAGCCAAATAGCCAGTCAATCAGTCGATCAGTCAACCAATCAGTTAGTTAGCCAAATATCCAGTCAATTAGTCGATCAAGCAGTTAATCAGTCGATCAGTCATTTAACCAATCAGTCAGATACTTAAACAGTCAATCAATCAAGTGCATTTTGACGCTTTGTAGGCGCTGATTGAAGAGCTCTCAAAAATGAACCGTGTGACATGAGGCAGCTTCTTCTTCCTGCTCTGCCAGAAGATGCTAGAGAGGGGGGGGGGGAGGAGGCAGTGGGAGGGGTAGTTCATTTAGAATGGGGGCCAAGCAAACAGCTTTTTGGTTCAACAAACTTCAATTAATGTCGCACGGCTGTCGCCTTTGTTGCTCTTGTTTGTTGTTTCTTGTTGAAGTAGAAGCAACAACAACAACAACAACAACAGCAACAACAACAACAACCTGGCAACACTTTCAAGTGTCGGCCGCCGCCTTCATAACGAGCACAGACCCACGCCTCCCGCCCCGCCCCGCCCCTACACACCGCCACGCCCACACGGAACTGAGCCGCGTTTTGCGGCCATTCATAAAAGAAAATGGAAGGAGGCAAAAAAAATAAAAAAAGTAGAAAAATTGAAAAACTATTCAGCGAAAAACTAAACGCAACGCCAGCGACAAGCTGTGCTTATGGGCGTGGCAGCCGCCCACTGGCACACCCACCGCCCCCCCCCCCTCTCTCGCGCCCCTCTTGCTCTGGTTTAGTTTGTGTTGCGCATTTGTTGATTTTGTTTCTCATTTCTTTTACATTTTTTTTTGAGCAACCTTTTTTTTATTTAGCAAATGTTGATTTTAGCCTAAATGGAGTGGGCTAGGGCGAGATGGGGGGAGATGGGGAGGGGGGCGTGCTGTTACTCTGTTGCACAAACATTTTTTGTTTGTTTGCGCAATTTGCGTTAAGCATCGCCTTTTTTTTTTTGTTTTGTTGCCGTTTTTGTTGCTGTTTAGTGAATTGAAAAGGAATTTGTTTTTGCAGGTTTTAGAAAGATTTTCTTCTTTATATTTTTGTTTTGTTTTCTTGGTTGCCCTCTGTTGTGCTCATTTGACAAGCAGCTTTTCAAATTGACAGAAATTATATATTTTTTTTGCATTTTTATTCGATTTTATAGGAGTTGAGATTAGAAGAAGTTGGACATCATACAAATAGAGCATATTGGCAGGCTTATGGCTTATTCTAAGTCTGATAGATCCCGAGTTCCTGAGGTACAGATGGGCGGAGCCTGATATTCCTTAGGAGACATCACATAGTTCTTTTAGAAGAAGCTGTGTACCAAATTTGGCAGCTATATGCCTGATAGATCCCGAGTTCCTTGGGTACAGCAGGTGAAAAAAACTAGATATTCTCAAAGAAATGGCATCTCTGAAAGCCTGAAAGGTTCCCAGTTCCTGGGGTACAGAGCGAGATAAGACTAGATATTTTTTGAGGAGACTTTATTTAGTTCTTGTAAAACAAGCTTTATATCATATTTGCCAGCTTCGGGCCCGACAGATCCCGAGTTCCTTGGGTATAGAGGGTGCTAAAGCTTGATATACTTTTGGAATCCCTAATATTTGTTGTAGCAGAAACTGTATACCAAATTTGGAAAGTCTTAGCCTGACAGATACCGAGTTCCTTGGGTACAGAGCGAGGTAAAACTTGATATGCTTTAGGGAACTTTGAGTAAGAATTTGTGAAATCTAAGTCTGACAGATACCGAGTTGCAAGCAGAGCTTGTGCTTTCGTAGGTTCCAAAAAGAAAATCAACTTTAATAAATATTTAAAAACTTTTTAATTTATATGATAAAACAAGCTAAAAGCTGACAATTATTTAGAGCTTCTTGCGGGCTGGCCTAAAGTAAAGAACAAGTCGAGAATTATTTTCAAATATAACTTAAAGATGGATTAAAAAGAGAAGTTACATACCAAAATGTGGAGAGTTTCACTTTTGCCACCTTCAGCTGGGCACTTGGCATCAGGATTTGCGGCTTTCGATGCTAATTAACCGAAAGAATTAGGCGAATGCTAAACGTAGACATCGCAGTCGGTGTAGGTATAGAAGAGGGCTGGGGTACAGCCGCCGCTGCCGTGCGTTTGGGCATAATTGAATCTGCGCGCCAAGTGTAGCCAGCAGATGAGCAGCGCTAACATGAGGATAAAGCAGGCGGTAAGCAATTGAAGTGTGCGCGACGGCCATTTGCCGGCCCGTTCGCGAGCCCTCAGCATGCGCTGCCTGTGGCCGCATTCACAGCAACGCACCTGGCCGAGCACCTTGAGCAGTTCGATGCGTCGCAGCTCCTTGAATTTGTTGAACGTCTGCCCCAGATCGCAGAGCAGCTGCTGCACGTCGCACATCCTGCACGCCAATTGTTAAACCTCACGATAAATGCGTGCGTCGTGTGTGTGCGTGTGTGTGCGTGTGTGTGTACTTTACTCCGTTTCCTTTGAATTTCGTCTGCAAACAGCAAGAGGAGACGCCACGCTCATGCAAGCATTGTTGATTGATCTAAATAACCAAAGACTACACGTGAATTTGAAAAACGAAAGCAACTTATTTCAACCAAATGCCATATACAAATGTTTTGACTTAAATCACCTGGCTAGATACTAGCTAAACGATCTCAATGTATTCACAAGGCATCCCATGTTTACTCGACCATTTGCAACAACATATTCTTATGCCTCGCCGTGATCTTTTCATCGCATTGCCTCAAGTAGTCCATTGCCTCAATTCGATTAACCTAGCTCCGACAGTTCTCCAGTTACTTGAGGCCATTTTGATTATATCTGGGTTGCAGTAGGTAAAACTATTCTAATTACACGATATTATTAATTGTCTTCTTTATAAGAGCCCACATACCAAATATTCCAACTCTAGCTCTTACAGTCCCCGAGTTCTTTGAGTCAATTATGATGATATCTAAGATAAAGTAGGTTAATGTATCCCAATTCCATAATAGACTTGATACTATCCCTAACAAGAGCCCACATACCAAATATTCCAACCCTAGCTCTTACAGTGCCCGAGTTCCTTGAGTCCATCATGATTATATCTAAGATATTTAATGTAAAACTGTTCCGATTTCACGATATTATCAATTATCTACTTTACAAGAGCCCACATATTACATTTTATAGCTCTAGCTCTTACAATCTCCGAGTTCCTTGGGTCCATTAAGTTAAAGTTTAAGATAGGATTTTACTAATTGCGACTCGAGGCTACATTATTCTTATGATCTTTCAGTTCGTTGGGTCCATGACCTCAAGGATCAAAGATAAAACATATAAGAAACTTTCTGGATTTAAGAAAAAGCCGAACTTTGTCATTTATAGGATCTATAACTATCTAAGAAATTTGATAGCTGCGTTCCTTGGATTCCTTGGCTGCAGGGTATTCAAAATCCAAGATCTTTAAGTAGGCTATATTACAGGGTATATATTATCAACTTTTAGCTGGAATTCGGCGTGCTGCTACTTTTCGCTGCCATTGCGCGCATATTTTATGGTGTCATATAAAAATGTTTCAGTTAATTGAAACTGGAAGAACAACAATTTTGGCCAAAATGGTCTCTGGTTATCTGCTTGGTTGGGGGAGGGCAAGGTTGCCTGTGAGGGGGAAGGAGGGGGGGGGGAGGGGGGGTTGGTGTGTCTCTGTGTTGTGTCAGCAAGTTTTTAATGGCTGCAAAAATGTGTGTCGCCCTCACTTGTAATTAAAAACTTTATCGCATTCCGCTGAGGCAACAAATTTGCCAGTGGCAGAGCGAGAGAGAGGGAGGCAGGCAGGGAGAGAGAGAGAGGGAGAGAGAGGGAGGGAGACACAAGGAGAAAGAGAAAAGTTTCTGTATGCGACTTGTTACCATTTCGTTTCGTTCCATTCCATTTCGTTTCGTTCCATTCCATTTTGTTTCGTTCCATTCAATTCCGTTTCACTGGCTTTGTCTTAAACACATTCTGTTACATGTAGAGAGAGAGAGAGAGAGAGAGAAAGAGAGAAGTTTCTGCAAAGAGCTTTGTTCCCATTTGGTTTTGTTTCGTTCCATTCCATTTTGTTTCGTTCCATTCCATTTTGTGTCGTTCCATACCATTCCGTTCCACTGGTTTTGTCTTAAACACATTCTGTTACATGTAGAGAGAGAGAGAAAGAAAGAGAAAGAGAGAGAGCAAGAGAGAAGTTTCTGCAATGCGCTTTGTTCCCATTTCGTTTTGTTTCATTCCATTCCATTTCGTTCCGCTGGTTTTGTCTCATTTGCCGCTCTCAGCTAACATTTCCTGGAAGATTTTCACATTGCAACGAATATGCTCGCCTTTAACTTGTGCACAGGGTATACAGATCACATCAATTGTGGGCCTTTCGACTGCTTACAGGGTATCTGCTAGTCGGGCGCGCTTTGAGCAGACATTTGCCTGCAGCTAATCTGCAACTGCCTTCGAAATTGGGGCCATGCGCTTCGTTTCCCAGCGCCATTTCGTTGACATTTGGGTCGAGGCAGCAGCAGCTGAGTTCTTCTTCTTCTTCAAAACTGGGCTAAGATGCGCTTGCCCCCTCTTCAGATTCCCCCCCCCCCCCCTCTCTCTCCTCCTTTCACCATTCCCGCCTCTCCTTCATTAGTTAG